CTAATAAAGTGACTTAAAAAAGTCCCATGAGACTTAACCTTCTCATACCACATATAAGCATGCCAACCCATTTGCAAATCATGACCTTCAAGATACAAAATTCTCTTATTTTGCAAGGTTATCCATTCTTTTAGCCAAGTTAAAATAGATGCTTGATAGTACAACATCCAATCAGGAAGACCAAAGCCCCCGTTCTTTTTGGTTTCCTGAAGCATTTTTAGTTTAATCCTTGCTTTCTTTTTTCTCCAAATCTAGAAAGTTGAAAATTTAAATCCTCAAAATTTTTTTTATCAATTTTTACGGGAATTATTTGGAACAAAAACAAAAGTTTTGGTGATATATTCATTTTAACAAGTGCTATTCTTCCCATCAAAGACAATTGTGAATTGGCCCATTTTTCCAGATCACCTTTAATATCCTTCAATAATTTATCATAATTGTCTTCTTTCAAAGTTGTGCATTTAGCTGTAAGATAGATTCCCAAGTATTTTACCTTATTAACAATCTGCAAGTCCACTTGTTCTTGGAGCCTTTTTTTCTGTTCTTGCATAAGATTTTTAAGTAAAAGTTTCATTTTTTCTTTATTTATTTTCATCCCCGTAACTTCATCATATTCTTCAATCTGTTGTAAAAGTTTAGGGATTGTTACAAAAGGTTCCTCTGTTATGAAGACCAAATCATCTGCAAATGCTTGCAATTTATAACTTTCATCCCTAATTTAAGTACCTTTAATGTTCTCGTCATCCCTAACATTTCTATTCAAGACCTCTAAAGTCAGAATGAACAATAGGGGCGACAACAGGCATCCTTGCCTTGTACCCTTTTGTATCTCTATAGCCCTTGTAAGTTCTCCATTAATTAAAATCCTGGTCAATTGTCTTTGATAGATGCTTGATATTGCATTCATGAATTTTCCCCCAAACTCCATTTGAGCCATCTGTTGCTTCATGAATTGCCAATTAACTTTATCAAAGGCTTTCTGGGCATCCAAAAACAGTAGAGCCATTGATTTTTCTGTGTGTGTCCCGTAGTATTCTAGGATATCTAAGATAGTCCTCAGATTGTTCTGCATTTGTCTTTTAGGCAGGAAACCATTTTGGTCTGGATGAATAAAGTCTATTAAAAACTTCTTCAACCTTTCTGCCAATATAGAGGCAAACATTTTATAGTCCACATTTAGTAATGATATAGGTCTGTAATTTTGAATCTGTGTTAAGTCCATATCTTCTTTCGGTATTAATGTGATATTTGCCTCTGTCCAGGTATCTGGTATTTTAGCATTTAACAATGCTTCATTACGTATATCTTTAAGAGATGTAGCAAAAACTCCCTCAAAAGATTTGTAAAATTCAGTTGGTAGCCCATCTGGACCAGGGGTTTTATCATTCTTTTGTTGCATGATTGCCTCTGTTATTTCCATAGTTGTTACTTGATTCAATAATTTTTGGTACTTTTCTGGTAGTTTTGGTAAGTCTCCCTTTTGAATGTATTCTTTTACCTTCTCGATCAAAATCTCCTCCTTCTGGTGTAACCTTGCAAAAAAATCTTCAGCTATTTTCTTAATTTGTGTATTTTGTACCTGTAGTTGTCCTTCTCCATCTTTCAGTTTTGAAATCACTCTCTTCTCTCTTTCTTTTTTTTTTTACTTTATATGCTAGCCATCTCCCCGGTTTATTAACATTTTCAAAAAAAATCTGTTTAGCCAGTTTCATTTGCTTAGTAAGTTCATTTGTATCCAAGAGATTCAATTTGTGCTTTAAAGTATTCGTTTGGACCCTAAGATTCCCTTATTCACAAATGCATTAAAATCACCCATTACACACATAGTCTGATAGTCCTGCAGTTCTTGTTCCCATTTCCTCAGTTCTTCTACTAATGTTGCTCGCTCTTGCTTTTTCTTTTTCTTTATTTTTGCTGAGTAAGTTATTATCAGTCCCCTGACATAGGCTTTAGCTGTATTCCAGACATTCTGTCAAGAAGTTTCTTCCGCTTTGTTTAATTGAAAGAATATTGGCATTTCTTTGCTTATCTCTTCTGTAAATTTTTTATCTTTTAGTAACGCTTTATCTAAGCTCCATCTGGGCATCCTTGCAGCTCCTTTCAGTGATATAAATACAGGATTATGATCTGCCCAGACATTTGTCTCCATTTCAGCTTCTATCAGATCTGGAACTAAGTCTGGAGTTATCCAAACCATATCAATTCTAGACCATGGCCTATGTATGTTTGAATAAAAAGAATAATTGACAGAAGTTGGGTTTTTATGCCTCCAGGCATCTATCAAACTGAGTTCTTCAATCATGTTGGAACAAGACTTTGGAAGCATCCTCCTACCCCTTTTTCCCTTACTTTCACTCTTGTGATTGATTCCCTTATCCACAATTGCATTAAAATCACCCATTACACACACAGTCTGATAGTCCACTTGTAAATGTAACGTATGTAGTTTTTGGTAAAAAGTTTCCTGATGGTCATTTGGTGCGTATGTTGCCACTAAGAGCACCTTTTTATGTTTAATGTAATTTCTACCATCAAGATCCTACCATCCTCATCAGCAAGAATATATTTAGGGTCCAATTTTTCTTTAACATATAGTGCTAAACCTCTTTTCTTTTGTGATGCAGAAGATATGAACAATTTCCCCAGTTTTAAACATTCCAGAAGTTTAACACATTGTTTCTTAATATGTGTTTCTTGTAGACAAATTATATCTAACTTTCATTTTTGAAGTTGAGCAAAAATCCTTCTTCTCTTAGATGGTCCATTTAGTCCATTAACATTTAAGGAGAACAATTCAATTTTCCCTTCTTTTTTAAGAGCCATATTTAATAAAATTATCTACTTATTCTTTGCCTTTACAGTTCTATCTTTTTTTTTTCTCCTTTGAGTCCAAAGTCTGTACTACTTGTTATGAATCAACCTTCAGTATTTCTCCTTCTTCAGAATGGTACGCTGTTATTTCCATTGCTTCGGCACCTTTTTCTCCTTCTTTAGAGATGACAGGATCCTCCTCTTCCAACATGACTCTAAATTTTTCATGTGAAAAATATTCCTTCTGGTGTTAGCCTCTTAAAGATAATCTCTTTCTTGATCAGTTTTGTAGTAAGGAATAGATATTTCTTTTGTCCCTTTCTAATCCTCCATGGTATCTGTTTCAGGACCGTCACCTCCTAATGATCATCTCTCTTTAACGGCTTCTCCCATACAGCTTTCAAAACATTGTCTCTTATAGACCTTAGAGCAAATTTGACATGAACTTCTCTCAGAAGTTTATTTTTTCTGGTATAAAAGAAATTGACCCTAAAAATGAGGATTCTCGATTTCTAAAAGCTCCGCCAACATGTCAGTTATAAACTCTTGCAGATCCTCATTTTTCTCTTCAGGTATATTCTGAAATCTTAGATAGTAAGATGCCTTCTCCATCTCTAATGCAGCTGTTGAGTCCCATGTTGACTTATTTGTTTGCTTAATTAAATATATTTCTTTATCTACTGTCTCCAATTTTTCAAATACTTGTTGCATTTTTTGTGTATTCTGTTCCGCTTTAAGTCGAACATCAGATAATTGAGTTGTCACCTCTTTAATAGAGTTATCCAATTTATCAAGTCACTCTTTTTGCTCATTTGATTAGCTTTCCAGCTGTGTTGACATCACCTCTTGAGATGCTTGCAAAGTTGTTAAAGCTGTCTGTATCACCAAAGTCGTCATTTGCAACTCTTTTAAGCTTTTTGCAACATCTTCTGTCTTAGGCTGATGAATTGGACTCTGACCAGCTGAGCAGGGTGCTGAAGAGGGCTGAGTTTTCCTCATGATGAAAGCTGTTCACCAAAGAAGTTTCAATATAACAGCAAAAAAAAAAAAAAAAA